ACTGGGAATCAAACTGGTAACCCTTTGGTTGGCAGGCCTGTGCTCAATCCACTGAGCTACACCAGCCAAGGCAATCTTTTTTATTTTTTCAAAAAGTTCTATTTCATTCTGGCTCTGATCTTAACTATGTCCTTCCTTCTACTTACTATGGGTTTGCTTGTTCTTCTTCTAGTTCCTTTAGGTGTAGAGTTAAATTGTTTATTTGAAATTTTTTATTTTTTGAGGTCAGCCTGCATGGCTATGAACTTCTCACTTAAAACTACTTTTGTTACATGCCATAAATTTTGTGAAGTTGAGTTTTAATTTTCTTTTGTAAAGGTCATTTTTTCTTTCTTGTCTGATTTCATTTTTAATCCATTGTTTAGTAGCATATTGTTTAGTCTCTACATATTTGTGTTTTTCCCAATTTTTTCTCTGTAGGTGATTTCTAATTTCACACAATTGTCGTTGGAAAAGATACTTGCTATGATTAGTGTTTGTGAATTTATGGAGGCTTTTAATTTTTTTCTTCTATGTTTTTAAAAAAGATTTTATTTATTTTTAGAGATAGGGGAAGGGAAGGAGAGAGGGAGAGACATATCAATGTGTGGTTACCTCCTGCATGCCCCCTACTGGGGACCTGGCCTGCAACCCAGGCATGTGCCCCATTTGGGAATCGAACTGACAACCCTTTGGTTTGCAACTGGCGCTCAATCCACCAAACTACATCAGCCAGGGCTGAAGGCTTGTTTTGTGGCCTAACAAATCACCTGTCCTAAAGAATGTTCCATGTGCACTTGAAAAAAATTCTATTCTGCAGTTTTGGGATGAACTGATGTATAAATATCTATTAAGTTGATCTCCTCTAATGTGACATTTAAATCCATTACTTCCTAATTTTCTGTCTGGATTGGTTTGAGTGGGGTATAAAATTCCCTACCACTACTGTATTACTGTGAATTTCTCCCTTTATGTCTATGAATATTTACATTATGTATTTATGTGCTCCTATGTTGGGCATGTAGATATTTACAGTTATAGCCTCCTCTTAGATTGGCCCCTTTATGATTGTGTTTTTCTTTGTCTCTTTTACATTTGTTGTTTTAAAGTATATGGGGCAAATGTGAGTATTGCTACCCCAGGTTTCTTTTCATTTTTATTTGCATGGAATATATATATATATATATATATATATATATATATATATATATATATTTAAAGATTTTATTTATCTTTAGAGGGGAATGGAAGGAGAGAGGGAGAGAAACATCAATGTATGGTTGCCTTTCATGCGTCCCCTGCTGGGAACTGGCCTGCAGGGAACTAGCCTGCAACCCAGGCATGTGCCCTGACTGGGAATTGAACTGCGATTGTCTGGTTCGCAGGCCCGCACTCAATCCACTGAGCTACACCAGCCAGGGCCTGCATGGAGTATATTTTTCATCCTTTCACTTTTAGTCTATTTGTGTCTTTTAATTTTATGCCTCTGGTAGGCAATATAAAAATAGTTCTTATTTTTAATCCATTCAGCCACTCTATATGTTTTTTTTTTAAGATTATTTATTTATTTATTTTTAGAGACAAGTGAAGGGAAGGAGAAAGAGAGGGAGAAACATCAGTGTGTGGTTGCCTCTCATGTGTCCCCCACCAGGGACCTGGCCTGCAACCCAGGCATGTGCCCTGACTGGGAATTGAACTGGTGACCCCTTGCTTCACAGGCCCGTGCTCAATCCACTGAGCCACACCAGCCAGGGCCACTCTATATGTTTTTATTGGACCTTTTAATCCATTTTTAATGAAATTATTGATAAGTTCTACTGTGCTGTTTTGTTGTTTGGTGGTTGTTTCTATCATTCTTTGTTGCTTTCTTCATCTCCTGATTTCTTTCCTTGTGGTCTACTGGTTTTCTTTAGCGATTTGTTTGAGTACTTTCTACTAATTTTTTGTATCTCTTTTGTAGGTGTTTTTTATTGTGGTTACCATGAGGTTTATGTATATCATTCTACTTCTATAATAGTCTATCTTAAGCTAATAGTCACTTAAATTCAAATATATTTTATAAGGACTATATTTGTACTCCCCCTACACACTTTATGTTGTTGATATCATGTTGTACATCTTTTTATGTTGTATATCTAGCTACATATAGTTTAAATGGAGTTTGATCCTTTTTATTTTGAACTTCATAGTAGCTTTTAAATGTCCAATTTGTTTTGTTAGAATTTGGTTTTACCTGTGAGATTTATTTTCCTTTCCCATATTCACTTTATTTTTTTTTTAATGATTTTATTTTTAGAGAGACAGGAAGGTGGGGAGAAAAAGAGGAAGAGAAACATCAATGTGCAAGAGATACAGCAATTGGTTGCCTCGCACAAGCTCCCAACCAGGGACCTGGCCCTCAACCCAGGCGTGTACCCTGACTGGCAATCAAACTAGCATCCTTTCAGTTTGCAGGCTGCTGCTCAGTCCACTGAGCCACACCAGCCAGTCATATTTTTTTATTTCTCGTTATGGTCATTTCTACTTAAAAACCCCTTTAATATGTCTTGTAAAGTTGGTTTAATGCTTTACATTTTGCTTGTCAGGGAAATGCTTCATCTCTCCCTCAATTCTGAATGAACTTGTTGGGTAAATTATTCTAGGCCATGGGTTCCTACTTTCAGCACTTTAAAAGCCCCTCCCTCCCCCTTCTGCCCTGTCAAGTTTGTATGTAACTGGCTGTTGTCCTCTTGCTCCTTCAAAATTCTCTTTTGCCATTTTAATTACAATATGTCCTGGTGTGGGTTTCTTTAGGCGCATTATGATTGGAATTTTCTGTACGTCCTGGACCTAGACATGTTTCCTTTCTTAAGAAAGATTTCAGCCATTATTTCATAAAGTCAAGTTTCTGCTCCTTTCTCCTCTGGGATTCTGGGATCTCTATAATGAGAATGTTTGAGTGTTGGATGTTATCCCAGAATTCCCTTAAACTATCCTCATTACAAACAAAAACAACCCTGGTTGGTGTGGCTCAGTGGACTGAGCACAGGCCTGCGAACCAAAGTGTTGCTAGTTCGATTCCCAGTCAGGGCACATGCCTGGGTTGCAGGCCAAGTCCCCACTAGGGGGAGCACAAGAGGCAACTACACATTGATGTTTCTTTCCCTCTCTTTCTCCTTCCCTTGCCCTCTGAAAATAAAATTTTTAAAAAACAAACAACACCTTTTTCTTTCTGCTGTTCTAGTTTGTCTTCTAGGTCACTGATTTATTCTTCTGTTAGCTAATATGATGTTAATTCCTTATCATGTGCTTTTTCATTTCAGTACTTGAAGAGTATTGTACTCTTCAAGTCTGCTTTGTTTTTTCTTATACTTTCCCTTTGTTGACGTTCTCCCTAAGTTCCTCCAGTTGATTTAAGTTTGGTGAGCATCCTTATGATTGTCTCTTTGAATTCAGTATCAGGCAAATTATTTTTCTCCTTTTCCTTAGGTTTTCTTTTTTAATAAAGATTTTTCTCATTTCTTCATTGAAAGATTTTCTTACTTTGTTTGATATCTATGTTTATACTTATATAGAAGCAGACTCTGTGTAGGCTGAATGTGCCAGGTGGTTTGGAGAAACTGGTGGGAGCTGAGCAGGTGCGTAAGGCATCTGGAGCACTGGCCCACCAAGCTAGAGAAGTCCTTGATAGTGAGGCCTGGTGGATGTGGTGATGCTGTATTATCCCGTGGGAAGCTAAAGGCCCCAAACAATAAAACTGGGAACACACAGGGGTGACCTTGCAGGCATGCCAAAACCCCAGGATAGAGCCCATATGGACATATCTAAGTAGAGGGGACCAGAACAATGGTGTTCACCAGCCCTTTTGACCCTGGAGAGTTCCTGCAGCTCCCAGAGAGGTCTTGTGGCTCCAGTCTTCTGTTTGGTTTCTCTTGTTGCCAGAAGCTATTCATTCAGCTCTGTTGTCTCAGAGTAATTGTCTATATTGATATATGTTTGAGTTTGGAATGGGAGGAGGCAAATTCAGTAGCCTCCTATGCCACTGCCTTGGCAGACCTCATTTTTTACATTTAGATTTTGATCCCTTTGGTATTTATCCTGAAATATGGTGTGAGGAAGGGATGCAGTGTCATCATCTGTTGAAACATCTGACTTTGCTCCTTGATGTGGTGGCCACCCTTACCTTAAAGTTCCATTGTGCTTGGGTCTTTTCTGGACTTACACTGTATCCTGTTGGCCTATGTGCTCTGTGTGTGAAGCTTTACAATGTGTTTTAACATCTTAGGGGGCTATTCCCACCTCCCTACTGCTTTTTTCCCCCCAACAGGTTTCCTGCTATTTTTGCTCATTTGTTTCTAAATGAACTTGACTATCTTAAGTTATTAGACAGCTAACCTGATGGAATTTTCATTGGCATCAACTGAAATGTGTAAGTGAACAGGAAAAATGGAGAAAACTCATGTCAGTGGGCACACTTGATGTTCTGTACAATGAAATCCCCATGTAACTGTCACTCAGCTCAAACATCAAACATTTCAGTCCTCCAGAAGCTTTTTTTTTTTTTTGCCAAGGTTAATTGTCAGCCTGACTTCTACTCCATTCATTTAATATTCATTTTTATGTTGATTTTTTTTATCACTGCTAGTATGACTAACTTCCTCTATTGCTATAGTTTTCCACTGATTCCTTTGGGTTTTCTATGTAGTTACATTAAAGGAGACAGTAAAGAGATAGTGTTACTTTCCCCTTTCCAGTTCTTGTGTCTACAGTTACTTTTTCTTGTCTAATTATACTGACCAGCACTGCTAATATGGTGTTAAATAGTAAGGAATCAGTGTGCATCTTTTCTAACTTTTGTCTTTGGTGGCAAAACCTGTAGTGTCTGTCCACTAAATAAGAAGCTGGCTTTCAGGCTAAAATGTTAAACCCCTTTTACAAAGAAACTGAGGGTCTGAAAGGTGAAAGAGCCCCAAAGGTGGGGTAAGATGGAAGCAAGCACTCAGCCTGTTCCCAGATATCACCCCTGCCTATTGCCTCTACAGGAGATTGTGAACTTCAACTGCCGGAAGCTGGTGGCCTCAATGCCACTGTTTGCCAATGCTGACCCCAACTTCGTCACAGCCATGCTGACCAAACTCAAGTTTGAGGTCTTCCAGCCAGGTGACTACATCATCCGTGAGGGTACCATTGGCAAGAAGATGTACTTCATACAGCATGGTGTGGTCAGCGTGCTCACCAAAGGCAACAAGGAGATGAAGCTATCCGATGGCTCCTATTTTGGGGGTTAGTGTCTGCAGGGGCCAGGGAGCGGGCAATAAAGTTGGACCCTTCCTGGGGCTGGAGGGGAAGGCAGGAAGGCCACAGGGGTGCCAGTTCGAAGGACTCTCTGGCTAGACGGGGGCCACACTAGCAGAGGTGTGTGCTGGGTGGCACTCACTGCAGCTAGGAGTACCCACAGGATGAATGCGGGGGCAGCTGGGTGTTGCCCAGTGTCTCAGGTGCCTTCTTTGGCCACACAGAGATCTGCCTGCTAACACGGGGCCGACGCACAGCGAGTGTGCGGGCTGACACCTACTGCCGCCTCTACTCACTGAGTGTGGACCACTTCAATGAGGTGCTGGAGGAGTACCCCATGATGCGGCGGGCCTTTGAGACTGTCGCCATTGACCGCTTGGACCGCATTGGTGAGTGGGCCTGGCTGAGCCCTCTGTAGTTCTGGGGGAAACCATGCTGAGATGGAATGTGGTGTGGCTTAGATGACACACAGGAAACCAGATTATCTGATTGGCTCTGTCCCCTGGCTTAGCACAGCTCTAGTTTCCAAGGAAGAAAAATTATGAGGTGTTTCCAGTTGTGCAGAACTCTGCCCACTGGGCAAACAACTGCTGAGCAGCTACCATGTGCCCAGAGTGACAGCTGGTGGGCCATGAAGCTGCCTGTTGCCACCCTCAGCTTGTCAGAGAGGACATGTGGTAGTGGTGGGGCCTCCTGGCGATGCTAACTGGAGACCAGTACTAGTAGGTGGTGTCAGGATGAGAAGGCATGTTTTTGCACATGGATGCTGATTATGCAAAGACCCTGAGGTAAGAAAGAGATCCAGAGTCCAGAGAGCCAGAGAAGCTGAGAGGAGGGTTAGCGAGGTAGGCAAGGACCCAGGCATGCTGGGTCTGGTGGGCTGTGTGGGGAGGTGGTTGGACTTTAAATCAGGAGCAATAGGGAGCCACAGACAGTTCTAAGCAGGGGAGGACCTGATCAGATTTGTATTCTACAAGTTTACACAGCGGGGAGATGGTGGCCTGGCCTGGGCAGGATGTGGTAGCCTTGGTTGTAGGGAGAAGTGGAGCCCTCAGGACTTACTGACTAGACATAGGAGCAGGGAGATGGTGGCCCTTGCTATTTGTGGGAATAAAAATCAATGGCTACAAAATCAGGACTGGGTGGGGTGGACAGGGATTAGAGGGAGAACTTCCCCGTATGCAGAAAGTGCTCCATACATGTTTATATGCAAAAGGCACTAAACAATGACTATATAGTAGGTATTCAACATTTTTGGGACAGGTGCTTAGACATATTTGCTATATACAGCAGGCACTCAACACATGCTTGCAGTGTATGTTTTAAGTACTTGGCCCTCTAGTTGCAAACAGGCAGGCATTCTGGGTGTGTTGCTATATAGTGCAGGCGCTCAATACAAGATTGCTACATATGGGAAATGCTCCATGGATGTTAACAGTTTACATAGGGGTCTCATACCTGCTTTATGTATGCATCAGGTGCTCTGTGCGTGGTACACACAACAGACACTTGATTCCTTATAGATCATGCACACTTGCTGTATACAGAGGTTCTCAGTTGTCTCCTTCCCATACACAGCAGACACTAGATGCCTGCTCTCCTTATAAAGGAGGCACTTAGTACACACAAGTGTACATATACTGGCTATACACTGTGGATGTTAATACCTACTTGCTGTATGCAGGAGGCACTCAATACACAGAGCTGTATGCAGGAGGCACTCAGTACTACCTGTGATATATAGGGGTGCTTTGCATACTGGCTGTAGATAGTAGATGCCCAATACATTCTTCATGTGTACAGGAGGCATTCCATGTGCATCTGTATATGTAGAGAATAGGTGCCTATACCTACTTGCTGTATACAGCAGACATTCAGTACATGAAGCTGTATGTGTACTGTTGTAGAAAGTAGGTGAGGTGCTGTTGGCTGTATGTAGAAGGCATGCAATATGCACAAGTGTGTGTATGCTGGCTGTAGAGAGTGGGTGACATACTGTTTGCTGCATGCAGGTGTTCTGTGCCTACCGATGTAGTGGTGCCCGATACTTGGTTGCTGTATGTAGGAGGTACTCAGTACATGCAGCGGTCTGCCTACTGGATACAGGCTAATCGCATGCAGGAGACGCTCCCCTGTACACTGACACCTCCCCCATCCCCAGGCAAGAAGAACTCGATCCTGCTGCACAAGGTGCAACATGACCTCAACTCAGGCGTGTTCAACAACCAGGAGAATGCCATCATCCAGGAGATCGTCAAGTATGACCGTGAGATGGTGCAGCAGGCTGAGCTGGGCCAACGTGTCGGCCTCTTCCCACCACCACCCCAGCCACAGGTCACCTCAGCCATCGCCACGCTGCAGCAGGCCGTGGCCATGAGCTTCTGCCCGCAGGTGGCACGCCCGCTAGTGGGGCCACTAGCTCTCGGCTCACCGCGCCTTGTGCGCCGCCTGCCCCCAGGGCCTGCACCCAATGCCACTGCCTCCCCGGGGCACGTGCCAGCTGCCAGTCCCCCAGGCGCACCCGCCAGTCCCCGGGCACCACGGACTTCGCCTTATGGCGGCGCACCCTGCTCTCCAGCTGCACCCCGTGCTGGGCCCGCACTTCCAGCGCGCCGCTTGAGCCGCGCCTCGCGCCCGCTGTCCGCCTCACAGCCCTCGCTGCCCTATGGCGGTCCTGGCCCTGGCCCTGGCCCTGCGGTCTCCACACGTCCAGCCAGCAGCTCCACACCGCGCCTGGGGCCCACACCCGCCACCAGGGCAGCCGGACCCAGCCCAGACCGCAGGGACTCGGCCTTGCCCAGCGCCACAGGAGGCCTTGACCCGCCTGACTCGGCGCGTTCGCGCCTCTCTTCCAACTTGTGACCCTCGCTGCACCGCCCCGTGGGCCTGGGTGGGCCAGGGGCGGGGCCTTCATCCAAACCAAAGCCATGCCATTGCGCGCTGCCCCGGCCACCCACCCCAGAAGCCATAGAGGAGACGTAGGTAGTTGTAGTCAAGACAGGCGGGCTCCTGCTGTCCCCCATCACCTTGCGCCCACCCACATCGCCCCCCGCCCCCGCCCCCTTGGCGGTGGCCTCGCGGGCCTGCGAGGGGGCTCCCTTCACCTCGGTGCCTCAGTTCCCCCAACTGTGAAACAGGGAGGGAGCCACCCCGTGGCCGAGAGATGGCTGTGGACTTCCGCCTGCCCCCACCCTCACAGGTGGCCCGCCGTCCGATGAGGATTCTGTTTAAGTGCAATACTTGGCCTGCCAGCTTCCTGCTGCCCCCACTGCACTCACGCAATAACCGGCCCCGCCCCTCTCCGCGTGTGCCCCATGGTGACCTCCTGGAGCGGGCACAAGCAGCATCCTCCAGCACAGGGCACCCAGGGGCTGGCGGTATGGGCCACACCTGGGCATGGGGGTGAGGATGGGGAATCCCCGCCTTTGAGACGAATGTACTGACAAGCCGAGGCAGCAATGTCCCCACCACACCCCCACACCCCACTAACTTCCACAACCCCATTCCACGCAATAAACAACAGCATTGGCGCCCAGCCTACCCGCATTTGCTTGCTGGAAGCCCCAAGACAGGAGGGTGGTACGCACCCTCTCCCCCAAGGCAGTGCTCCCTTGGGTGGGAAAAGAGCTTTATTTACACTATGGTACAGAGGGTCGCTGGGCCAGCCCGGCAGGCCTGCATCAGCTGAAGAAATATGTTGAGTCCTTCACCTGCTCCAGGTTGAAGGTCCCTGCAGAGCAGAGCAGTGAGACCGTGAACCTGGGTCCTGGGATGGGTGGGGCCGTGGGACAGTCTAGCCCCCAAATGGCAATCAGGACACCCCTCCCCTGCCCATGGCCTTACCTGTCTTGGGTACTGACAGTAGCATGTCCAGTAACCTGGCAACTCGGATATTCGAGGACCTTAAGTGGAGAGCAGGGTGGGGAGTGAGGCCCAGGAAGGATCGGGAGGGGGTAGTGGAATCTGCACTGAGGGCAGAGTGCCTCACCTAGGGCCAGAGCAGAACCGTTCCACCAGGAACCTGGACAGGTCATGCAGGATGGGCTGGCTGTGCAGGCAGACGAACTGCTCACGGCATACCTGGAAAGCAGGGGTCAGAAGCCAGGAACAAGGGCCTGAGGGGTGGAGTTACCAACCCCTGCCCCAACACCTGGATGAGCACTGGGACCACAGGCTAGACAGAGGCTGGGGGTGCAAGATCCCACGTGGAGAGCCATGGGACCAGGGCATCCACTCTCAGGGGCATTGTGGCGGGCACCTGGTTCATGATGGTGACATCAGCTGCATGGGTCCAGAAGCAGTCGTGCACAGAGACAAAGGTCAGGCCTTTCCTGCAGCAGGGGAGGGGTTTCCATGAGGAGGGGCCAGCCCTCTTGGTCCACTCAAGGACCAGCTTGCAACCACTGGCCTGGTAAGTTCGGACTCCAGTGATGATGTATAGCTTCTTCCCTCCTCATGCACCCCACCATCCCTGGGGCGGTGCAACTGACCCCTCAGCATATGGACAAAACATCCTCATTTTAGAATGAGAATCTGTTCCACATCCTCACCACCCTGATCCCAATTGCTGCCTGCTTGATTCTCAGCTTCCGGTAGAAGCCAGTGTATGCTGACCCCCTCCCACACCCCCGACCACAGGGCTTTGTCCCAGGGGACCCCATGCCATGCACAGGGAGCATGGAATTTGCTCCTGACCTCCGACTCAGTCCAGCCAAACCTCCGTGTCATAGTCACTTCTAACAGAACTGTCCATACACCTGCCCCATCACCCCAGGCTTGCTGTCTCTTGTGGGACTCAGGACAGAAAACCATAGGGTTCTGCCAGCTGCCACAAAATCCCTGCATCTGTCAGAACTATGTCCAGCCCCCAGAAACTGGTCATGAAGCGTGTGCCTGAACTCAGCTGGATGAACGGGACCACAGGGACCTTCCAGGGCCAGCTTTACACTCAGAGGAACCACCCCCTCCCTTCATGGCCCAGCACTCACAGCTTGCTGCCCCGAGGCCTTTGCATGCGCTTACACAGTGGTTTTCTAGGCATCAGGTCCAGCAGACTCATGTTGGGTCCCTGCTTGCTATAGGTCTCTGCCACAGCTCCCACCTGCAGGTCTTGGCCTCACAACCTATCTCCCACTCTATGAGGGTCCCCACTGTGTGCCCAGCACTGGGCCTGCCTGCAGCAGGTGGTTAATGTGTGCTCTGCGGATACAGGGCCCACCTGTAGCAGTGCAGGGCTGTAAGCATCATGTGCGAGGAGTCCAGGGAGTGGATGAAGTTGGGCGGGAAGCCATTCTTCTGCTTCAGTATGTTTGGCTTCCTGTGTGCAGAGGGTCAGGTGTGCTGAGGTAGAGGATCTGGTACCTCTACCCCGGCCTGGCCTATGTGGCATCCCCTGGCCCAGGACTCCCCTCAGTCTTCACCCAGCAGCCCCTTAGTCCAGCTGCCTGGCCCTCCCACCCCCTACACTCACTGGCTGGTGTCTCCAGTGCTGCTGAAGGTGAGGCTCTGGATCCCTCCATTGATCTGTGGGGTTGGGATGGAAGGGTTATGGGGTGTGAGGCCTGCCCTGGCACTGGGGTATAGGGGTGGGCACGGAGGCAGCACATACCAACACCTTGGAGTCCTGGTGGTAGGGCTGGATGATGGGGATGCCCAGGGGTGTGACCCACTCCACAGCCAAGCCAGTGTGAGCAATGAGCCGGGCGCTCTCTGCCAGCCAGTGCTGCAGGGATAGGGACAGGCTTAGTATGGGGCCTAGTCTGGGAAGCCATTCTGGGGAAGGGAGGAGTACACACCTGGATGGCCCGGGTGCCTGAGAACATCTCCTGAAGGCTATTGAACACCTGGCGTACAAGATAGTGAGAGGCCTGCCACACAAACTCCTGGTACGGGGTGGGGAGGGCACAGAAATGGCTGTGTAAGCTGGGAGGGGAGGGGCAGCTCACTCCGTGCCCACCCCACAGCCCAGGGTCAGGTGACCTCACAGGACTGTCCTAAATTCCTGAAGCCCCCACCCCCTTTTTCAGGTGGAGAAACAGGCCCAGAGGCCTGAGAAGATAGCTAGCTCTTGTGGGTCCCTCCCTTTGCCCTACCCCATACCCCACAGTGGAGGGAAACAAGCCCCTCCCTCAGCTGCCCACGGCCTAGCAGCTGCCTGTTCAGGGGAAGCTGGAAGCTGGATTTGGGGTGAAACTGCTCACCTGGGGGAAGTTGCTGATCTCCCGGAGGCGCTTCTCAATCTGCAGGCGGCCCCCATAGCGGGTGACCCCATACACCACGGTCATTACAGTCTGCTTGACCACCTTGCGACTGATGAAGCCCTCCAGCACCTGGGCCACCTGCACACCCTGCTCGGCGTCCTGCCTACGGAACACTTCCACCTGGGCAGACTCTGATAGTCAGTGAGTCTGCAGACCTCCGCCTGCCTCCCTGTCTGACTCCACCCACCCTACCTAGTAGCACCTCCATGAGGCACCTCCTCCATTTACTTCACAACCCCAGCCTCTGACACCTCCCCTGGGAAGCCTACTCTGACTGCCCAGTCACATCACATATGACAAGCAAAACCAAAGCCATGGGGTTGGCAATACATAGGTACTCGCAGGACAGAGACCCCAGGCAGACTCTGGGAATGCAGACAGGTTGAAGGGCATGGTGCTTACCTGTGCGGCTACGCTGCTGTACACGTCCTGTGGCAGGTCTGAGGGCACCAAGTTGACAGAGGCAGCCCCCACGCTGTCCCGGCCCAGAGCAGCGTAGTGTTGCAGGCCGTTACAGGAGCCATCCTGGGCCAAGGAGAGGGTGGTGAGGGGTCTGGGCAGGGCTAGCAGGATTGCCCCTGGCCATGAGCCACAGTTCTGTCCTCCCCCAGCACTCTGCTCATATCACCAGCTTGCTGGACCCCAATGCTTAGGGACAGGTGTCATCACCCCACTACAAAAAGAAAACTGAGGCACATGAGGCAAGGAATGTGCCTGCAAGAGACCACAGTACAATGTGCTGGACCCACTGGGGCTGGCCCACACACAGGGACACCAGCCAGACTCCCACACTGTCCTGTGGAACCTCAGACCAGAGACACCTTCAGATAGCCCCACTCCACCTCAGGGTCCCCACTAGCTCACCTGGTGAACAGGGAAATGGGAGATGTAGGCAGTGGGGTCAGGGGCACGCACAGCCTGAGCAATCTCCATGCAGCAGGCCAGGGCTTGCCAGGGCTCATCTGCTTCCATCCACCATTTCTGGCCCTGCAGGAGGGCAGTGTGTTGGGTGAGGCTGGGCTGGGGTCAGTGGAACCGAGCTTCCTGGGTATGGATGGGAGCTGAGCTGACCCAGGTAATGTGAGGACACAGAGAGGCTGGGACAGAGCCCCTGGAACAGTAGAGTGAGGACAGGAATGGTGGACCAGGGTGGGAGACAGGGCCCAGCCATGGGACGGGGATGGAATTAGGGTTACTCTAGAGTGGGAGGTGGCAGAGCTGCTGATGGACTGGGTTACAGGAAAAGGCCAACAAAAAAAGTTTGTCCTAAGGGAAGACTAGGGGGGCAGGGGTTAATGATTATGGCCTGGAGGCAAGGACACCTAGAGGGTGTCCCAGGTGGGTGCTGAGGTGGCTAGAGCCAGAGTGGAGACCAGTCTGGGAGAGAGCCAGCAAGCGAGAGCAAGGCCCTGGCAGCCCCTACCTTCATGGGCTGGTCAGCTGAGTCCAGGATCTTCTCCATCATCTCGTCAGCAAAGGCCAGGCGTGCCTGCAGCGACTCGCGCTTTTTGAGCCCAGTGAGGTTGACCAAGTGGATCTTGAGCCAGTCGAGGCCATGGGGGCCAAGTGGTCGACCCTCGGCAAACTCCAGCAGGGCTCGTGCTAGGTCACTGCCCAAGTGGTTGAAGTGGGGCGGGCAGGGGTAGGTGCGTCCTCGGAAGTCCATGTTGTGAGGCAACCAGAAGACACGGTGCCGCAGGTGCTGGGCCAATGAGAGGCGGTAGAGTGCGTCGGTTCGCAGACTGTGCATCTCCCTTGCAACCTTCAGGCAACGGGCCAGCTGCCGCCGCAGCTCAGCCTTCTGCTCTGGTGAGGCTTTGGTTGGCAGGCGGTTCTCAGGTGGGCGGGGTGCCTCAGAGGCAGGGGCTGGCACGCCCAGGCGGGGGCAGCCCTTCTTGTTGAACAGGGTCAGCACCAGATCCAGCACGCGCCCATTTACACGCCAGGCGCAATTGCCCAGCTGGGTTAGGGCATCTAGGGCACCATGCAGGTTGGTGGGTGGGCAGCTCTCCAGCAGGCGTTGGTGCTGCATGGTGCCTTCCATGGAGCGCATCAGCTTGGTGGGGCTCAGTAGGAAGGCACCTGAGTGTGGTGAAGTCCAGGGCAGTGGCGGGCACAGCATGGGTACTTCGGATGCCTCAAAGGTCATTGTGCGCTCGGCTGCAGTTTCCAGCAGCTGTATAAAGGCTGGGTGTGGCTTCAGGATCCCAATCTGAGGGTAGGATGGGCAGATAACTAGTCAGGGGGTTATAGCAGGCGCAAATAGCAGGCAGAGGGCCCCAAGGTCCCATCAGAAGCCCTTATCCCAAGACCAGGCCATGACCCCTGCAGGATTTCAACAGTGCCCCATCCTGGCTCAGAAGTGCCCACACCCGCCCTGAGCCCCGGCCTCGTCTCAAGCACTCAGACTCCAAGTGCCTTCTACGGCTGGGAGCCAGGGGTGTCTAGGCCCAGAAGCCAGTTCCACAGCGACTCACCTGGCGGAAGCTCCGGAAGGAGTACACATGGTAGAGCACAGGGATGAGGTTGTGGGTGCCCTGGCGTTGGGCCAGGTAGCCAGGCATCTTCACTGTCTGCACCAGCACCTCAGCCAGTTGTTTGCCCAGCTGCACCACCACAGCCAAGGGCCAGGGCTGCTCGTGCGGGGCCTCAGGTGCCCCCAGTGCCTCCCAGTACTGCCGTGGCAGGTGGGACACCGCCATCTGTGGGCAGCATCATGGGTCAGGGAACTGGGGTCTGGGCGCAGAGCTGTACACTCCTCCCAGCTGCCCCCACAGGCAGACGGTTACAGATGAGGAAACAGGCTGGGGGGAGGCAGCCAGGAAGTGGCCAGGCCTGGGGCCGAATCCAACTGCCCCAGGGAAGGAGGGAGGGGACTAGGGATAGAACTTCCTCTAGGGGTCTTGGTTTCTCCACCTGAAAACCCACTTAGGCTCCCTAGCCCTGAGGAAGCCCCAGATCCCAGGCCCCGAGAGCAGCTCCTCATTCTGCCCCTTCCAGACCTTACCTGTGTGTCGGATGCCAGTAGGCGAAGGTACTTGAAATAGCGCTGCTGCAGTGCCTGCACCTCATCACTGAGCTGCTTCTTCTGCACCACATGGCGGCTGAAGATGCGCAGGCCCAGCTGTTGCGCCAGGGAGAGCAGCGACTCTCCCTGCAGAGGCAGCACCTGCAAGGTCTGGGGGTGGTGCCATGAGCCCCTTGCCCTGCCGGTGCCCACACTCTATCCATCCCCCACCTCACCCCCTCTCCCAACTGTACAACCCAGTACAACCCCTCCTGGCCCATCCCTACATGTCCACTGCCCACCTGCAGCAGCATCTGTGCTAACTCCCCCTCGCTGAGCAGGCACAGGTAGGGGAAGATGGAGGGGCGGCCTTCACGAGCGGCATGGGCCTCGCTGGCCTTGGTCTGTCGCAGCGCCAGGCACAGCTCCGTCTCCCATGAGGTACGTAGTTCCTGCAGTGTCTTTCGCTGTGGTGGTGGGGTATTGACACAGGGTCACCACGTTGTTCTATGGGCTCAGTGCTCACAGGCTCCCAAGAGGAGTCTACCAGGAGGTAGTGTCAAGGTGAACCAAGTGGCTGCTGAGCACTCTTCTCCAACGGTGGGAGGGCACCCAGTGACCCCGCTTAGTGAAAGGAAGGGGGACAGCCGTGGGGTAGGGAGAAGGGACTGCGGAACGGAAGAGAGCACGCTCAGACCAGGGGGTGCCCAGTTCAGCCAAGCAGGACCCTAAGCACGCTGGGCCCCTTACCGCTCGCACGACCTCCCTGGTCAGTGATGGGGCCTTCTCCACAGAGTCCACGGTGACAGTGGTGGCCATCTCCACACTGAGCTGCTGCTGGAACAAGTTCTTCAGTGTCTCCAGGGGCAGGTGCTGTCTTGGGTAGGATGCGGGGTGGTTCTGCCAATGGGGATGGGCAGGTGGTAAGGCCCTGGGTGCCTGCCCCCAAGACCTGGGTCCCTGGTAAGCAAAACTCATCCACAATGGAGGTGGAGAAGAGCAGCTGCCTGCCCTGTGCTGCCCAGGACTCCCACGCTCGCAGAATCACCCACATTTCTCCAAGTCCCCTGAAAATCATCCATCTTGCACATCACAGGAAAAAGCCTGGTATAGAACACCATGTAAAATAGCTATGCTGGTTTAAAAACAAAAAGCTCTGTATTTGCTTGGCCTCCCTGGGCTGGGCACTGGATAGCCTAGGAAGGCAGTTCAAGTCCCTGGACACCAGGTGTTTTTTTTTTAAACTTGGAACTGCATGAATGTGTGACCCATCGCAAAACAGAGAAATTAAAAAAGCAAAACCCAATACTCTGAGAATGAAAAGCATAGATCCACACAAACTTTTGTACACGCACACCCACAGCAGCGTGATTCACAGCAGCCAAAAAGTGAACAGAACCCAACTGTCCGTCAGCTAATGAATGGATAAGCACAATTTGTCCATCTGCACACTAGAACACAGGATGGGACAAAAGTAGGTTTAGAGTTGCAAGTACATAAAACATTTTATTCTTATATTACTTATTAATTACTATATTGTTTTCCATATGAGCAACTGCAAACCTACTTTTGCCCCCTGCTGTGTTACTGAGCCAGGAAAAGGAGCAAAGCTCTGACGCTCACTACTATGCGGAGGGACCTCAAACACATGGTGCTTAGTGAGAGAAGCCAGGCACAGAAGGCCACAGAGTGTGATCCCATGTATGTGAAATGCCCAGAACAGGCACATCCACAGACAGGCAAGGGGTTAGTGTTTGCCAGGGGCTGCAATTTCTTTCTGGGGTGACTTAACATTCTGGAATTAGAAGTAAACCTACTAAGAAATACTGAATTATACTTTGAAAGGTAAGCTGTATGGTTGGTGGATTATATCCCAATAAAAACAAATAAAATCCCAAGGCATCTGGGTGGCTGCCCACTCTCAGCGCTGCCCTCTGTTCGGGGAAGCAGTGCTGGTATCTTGCCCCACCTGCTGCCCCCTGCTAGGGCAGTTATACCTGGCTCTGCGACCACTCCTGTGCTCAGCTTATAGCTGAGTCTCGAGTGGGACAGTGATCACTGTGGTGCCTGGCATGCATGTGGCAGGCTTTTCCTTCTGGCAGCACCTTCCAGCTTTAACCCTTAGGGTTGAGGCACTGCTGGGGACCAGGAGCTTGCCAACACTGAGTTGTTCAGCCTCTGAGGAGCAGGGAGAAAAGTCCCTGAGATGCAGACAGCTCAGCAAGGAGAAGGAAAAAGGGCTGAGGCTCCTGGTACCCCATGGAGATGGGATGACCCTGGCTCACCCTGCATATGACGGAACCACACCTACGGGTACCAGGCCACAGGCTGGAACTCACCTTGTCATAGACATCCCTGAGCAGTGGGGAGGTGTTCACCTGGGGCGAGGGCGGGGACGGCGGTGGAGGTCTGAAGGTGGGCTCAGCCTTGTGCACAGCCCTCAGGAGTGCGGCTTTGTCCTCCCTGCACAGTGACAAGCTTGTGAAAAGCTCCTGCACCTGCAGCCCATCCTGGGCCATCTGCTTCAGACACCTGAGGGGGACACATGGTGGCTGGTGAATCCCCGACTCCCAGAGCCACCTGTGACCATTTTCGAGGTCTCAGAAGGCTATCAAGTCCTGCAGGGAGTCCTAGCCCACAGCGCAAGCCAAGCCAGCCTCCTGGACCCAACATGTTGCTGTGTTCCTGGTAGGACCACCCCGACACCTGCTCACCTTTGGATGGTACTGGCATCCTGGTTCAGTCGCCCCATGCACTGCAGGGCGGCTGCATAGGACAGCAGGTCTGGAGCGAGGCCGGCATCTTTCATCATGAAGAACACATAAACCAGCTCTTTGTAGGAGCCCTGGGGACACCAAGCCAGGGTTAAGGTCTGGGGGTGACCCAGCCTGCGGCAATTCCTGTCCCCCACCCAAGACCCCTCTCTGCAGTCACGGCATCAGGCTGAAAAGTGCTCCTAGTCAGGAGCGGTCAATTCGGCAGGCAGACAGCCCGCCTGACCTTCCTGTGTGCCACAGAAATGCCGGCATGGTGGTAACACCATGGCTGTGCCACACAGGAAACCCAGGTGCCAGGGTGGGAAGGGGTGTTAACAGTTTCTGGCTTTGTGGACATGAACATGCACAATTTTAGGGCAGCTAAAAAAGAAGCCCTTTCCAGATCACTGAACTCCAAGAGGTTCCTCAAGTTCTGCTATCTTTTTGGAGGACCCACTTTCAGGTTTGCTGGTTTCCTGCTGTTTCTCTCCTCTGTCATGGCACTGCCCTCGGACCCCTGCTCTGGGTTTAGTTTGCTTCTTTCACCTAGTTTCCCAAGGCGGCAACTGTGTTGCTGGTTGGAGATGGCTGCCACCATCCCTCCAAACATGGCTCTCCTGCACCTGTGTCCAATTCCACAGTCACGAGACACACACAGTCATTTAGTTTAAATTTCAGTGAAATGTTCGAGTATTCAAGTGCTCAGTGGCTACACAGGCTGATGTAGAAGAAAAATATTTCCAGAAGGTACCGGGGTCTGGGGGTGTTGAACTCGTGCCATCCCACCCCAGACTCAATACACACGTGCACAGCAGACACCGGTGACTACTGCCACACAGCTGAGGGCTGAGTGAAAGGCTTCCAACAACAAATGGAAGAAAGGGATGAGCAGAGAAGGCTGGGATCCTGGGGAGCCCTTTGGGCGGCGAAGCCCCAGCACCACTGCTCACGCCCCTCCACCTCCCTAAGGCCATGGGGGCCACGGCAGTGCTTCCCGGCTGCACCACCCAGAGCCTTCTGCCTCTTAGCAAAGGAACAACAGGACATCACCACACCCACCTGGCCCTCGCTCCACCACTATCCCCAGCAACACCTACTGACTTCCCCAAAGCACCCAGCGCACGTGGCTTCTGTATCAGGCTGCTTTTTCATGACTAGGGGAGAGGGCTATTTTCTCTAACAGGTAAACAAATATACCAAGTCAAACTAAATGAAAAGACAGAATATCTCTCAGATGAAGAAACAAGGTAAATCTTCAGGGAAAAAAAAACCCTAAGGAAACAGAGATAAGTAATTTGATTTTAAAAATTTAAAGAAATGGTCAGATGCTCACCAAAGCTGAGTGGAATAGAGGAACTTAAGGAGAAATTCCACAAAGACAAAGTGTGGTGGAACTTTGGTTCTCAAATTTAATTCATTCCAGAAGGCTGTCCGAGAAGTAATTTGTCTGAAAACCAAATCATTTTTTCCCAGATATCACCACGAAAGGTTCGTTAGGTCACAAACCAAAGTTTTTGTCCAACAACTGAGACATTTTTTCAGTAAACAACCTGGTCGAGAACTGAACTGTTCAAAATGCGACATGTTCAAAAACCAAGGTTTGACTGTGTAAGAAAACCAAGCAAACCTGAAGAATACAATACCAAAATGAAAAACACATTGGGAGGAATCAACAGCAGACTAACAAAGAAGCATAGGTCAGCAACCTGAAAGACAAACCAGTTGAAATCAACCAATCAGAACAGCAGAAAGAAAAAAGTATAGCTAGCCTATGGGAATTCTGGAAAAACATCAAGGACTCAAATATTCTCATTATAGAGATCCCAGAAGGAGAAGAAAGAAAGGAACAAAAACTTTATTTAAAGAAATAATGGCTGAAAACTTTACTAACTTGGTAAAGGAAACAGACATTCAAGTCCTGGAAGCAGAGTTCTGAACAATAGGAACTCAAAGAAACCCACGCCAGGACATATTGTGGTTAAAATGGCAAAAGTTAAAGATAAAAAGATGATCTTGAAGAAAGTACCAGGGGCAGAGTGAGTTAAATATAAAGGAAACCCCATAAGGCTATCGGCTGATTTCTCAGCAACAATGTTGCCAACCAGAAGGGAGAGGCAGGGCATTTTTCAAGTGCGGAGAGAAAGGAACCTACAGCCTGGAATAATCTACCCAGCAAGGTTATGTTTCAAACGTGAGGGACAGATAACTAAAGGTGTTTGGGACCCTCACACCACTTTACAAGAAATGTTAAATGGTCTTCTTTAAGCAGAGAAGAAAAGATCATAACAAAAATTAGAAAATATGAGAAAAGAAAAAATCTCACAAGTACAGCCAAATAAATATTTAATAAATACAGCAAATCAAACATCTAAAAACCTACTACAAAGTTCAAAAAAAGTATCAAACTCAAACTGTAATAAGCAGTTAGATACATGACACAAAAAGATCTACCACAAAATATTAAAGACATACAGTATGTATGGGGGTAGAAATGTCCTTATAAAATGTATTCAAACTTAAATGCCTACCAGCTTAAAACAGACTGCTAGAGATACAGAATAACATACACAGAAATCATGGTACCCACAAACCAAAACCCACAAATATATATAAAGAAATAAAGAGAAAGAAACCCAAACAAAACGAGCAAACCACAGGGAACAATCAGAAGAGGGAAACAGAGAACTATGGAAAACCTCTCAAAAATCACATTCAATGTAAGTAGATTAAATGCTCTAATAAAAAGATATAGAGTGGCTGAACGGACCTATCTATATGCTGCTTATAAGAGACTCACTTCAAATCAAGACACTTAAGGTCTAAAAGTGAAGGAATGAAAAACAATATGCCGTGCAAATAAAAACAAAAAGAAAGCTGGAATACAAATACTCCTATTAGACAAAATAGACTTTAAGACAAAAAACGTAAAAGAAGACACCACATAATTATAAAAAGGTCAATCCAAGAAGAGACTAAAACAACTATAAACACTGGTCCTGGCTGGGTGCTCAGCTGGTCAGAACATCACCCCCGCAGGCCAAAGGCTGTAGGTTTGATCTCCAGTCAGGGAGCACAGAAGAAGCAATCAATGAAAATATATAATAAATAAGGGAAAAACAAATGATGTTTCTCTCCCCCCATTTTCCGCTCTCCCTAAAAAAAAAAATCAATAAGTTAAAAAAAAGTTTAATTGTAAATATTTACGCATAAAACATAGGGGCACCTAAATATATAAAGCAATTTTTAATGGACATAAAGGGAGAAATCTACAGTAACACAACAGTAGGGGATTTTAATACCACACTCACAACAATGAAAAATCACCCAGACAGAAAATGAACAGGGAATACTGGCCTTCTGTGTCACATTAGATGAGCTCAACTTAATGGACATTTATAGTTCATGTCATCCAAAAACTGCAGAATACATTTTTTCAAGTGCACATAGAACATTCTCCATGACAGATCACATATTAAGTCACAAGATAGAAAAAATTATGTCAATAAACTTAATAAAGTGAAAATCATATCAAAAATCTTTTTCTACCACAATGGCATGAAACTACGAAGCTACAGAAAGAAAACTGGAAAAAAGACAAATATGTGGAGACTAAACACATAACATAGTAAACAACCAAAGGGTTAAAGAAGAAATCAAACAAGAAATCAACAACAACCTTAAGATAAATGAAAATAAAAATACAACTTTACAAAATTTATGGGATGCAGCAATTATTTTTTTTAAAAAGATCTTATTTGTTTATTTTTAGAAAGGGGAAGGGAGGGAGAAAGAGAGGAAGAGAAACATCAATGTGTGGTTGCCTCTCAAGCACCCCATACTGGGGACCTGACCCGCAACCCAGGCATGTGCCCTGCCTAGGAATCGAACTGGTGACCCTTTGGTTTTCAGGCCAGAGCTCAATCCACTGAGCTACACCAGCCAGGGCCAAAAAGCAATTCTAAGAGCGAGGTTTATAGCTATATAGGCCAACCTCAAGAAACAAGAAAAATTCCAAATAAATAATCTAACTCTACACCTAAAGCAACTAGAAAAAGAACAAACAAAACCCAAAGTAAACAGAAGGAGAGGGATAGCTAAGACCAGACCAGAATAAACAAAACAGAAAATGACAAATCTTTGGCCAAACTCATCAAGAAAAGAGAGCCTAAATAAATAAAATCGTAAAGGAAAGAAGTTACAACTGACTGCAGAAATACAAAGAATCATTAAAGAATACTATGAACAATTATATGCCAACAAATTCAACAATCTGCAGGAAAAAGAAAAAAATTTTAGAAGTGTATAAGCTTCCAAGACTGAACCAGAAAGAAATACAAAATCTAAAGAGAACAATTACTAGCAATAAGGCTGAAGCAGTAATCAAAAAACTCCCAACAAATAAAATTTCAGGACCGGATGACTTATCAGGTAAATTTTATCAAACATTCAAAGAAGAATAAACACTTATCCTTCTTAAACTATTAAAAAATTAAAGAGGAGGAGAGGCTTCCAAACTCATTTTATTAAGTCATTATCAAAACCAGACAAAAACACTACAAAATAAGAAAATTACAGACCAAAAAATAAGAAAAAGAAAAATTACAGACCAATATCTTGATGAACATACATGTAAAAATTCTCAACAAAATATCAGCAAACCAAATTGAACAACACATTAAAGGGATCATATACCACAACCAAGTGGAATTTATCCCAGGCACCAAGGATGGTTCAATACCCACAAATCAATCAATGTGATACCTTAATAAAGTACAAAAACCATATGCTCATCTCAATGGATGCAGAAAATGCACGTGAAAAATTTCAATCCTTTTATGGTAAGAACTCTAAATAAAACATGTATGAAGGTACCCTGGCTTGTGTGGCTCAGTAGATTGAGTGCTGGCCTGAGAACCAAAAGATCGCTGGTTCAATTCCCAGTCAGTGCACATGCCTGGGCTGAGGGCCAGGTCCCCAGCTGAGGGTGTGAGAGAGGCATCCAATTGATGTATCTCTCGCATATCAATGTTTCTCTCCCCTTCTCCCTTCCTTCCCCTCTCTCTAAAAACCAAAATATTTAAAAAGCGTA